TTCCTGCTGCATTTGAAAAAAATCTCCTTTGATAATTACACAGGTAGCTTGCTGAACTGCAGTGAACACAAGTAGGTCACAATATACTCCAAAGTAGGACTGTCTTCAGGCTGTTGAAGGCTGAAGCATACAGATTGGAACATTACATAGCAGCTGGCTCTGAAGCTGTAGAAAATAGACTGTATGTGATATTTGTAAATTTATGTTGGGTCTCCAGTCCTTAAAGTGTTTGTTTTCATTCACAGATGATATAATTCCGTCTGAGAGCAGCTCTTTGTCTGACACAACAACTTATGATGATGGTATGTTGCTTATCCTTTTCTTCCTATGGAGTGTGCCCATTCAGAGACATTCCTTTGACTTAATGTCCTTTAACCTACTACTTTGGTGTCTTTTAATGACAAATTACTTTATAGCTGAGATAAAAAAGAGCTTCATCAGGAATGTCTAATCAGGGTTAGTTATTGAAAGTGTCTGCTCTGTGAGCTGATCTGAATTGACTTTAGGGAAGGTGATTGGGTTTTAACATGACCAACTTGTGAGCTGAAGGCTTTGAATTACCAAAAAAAAACCCAAACTTCATCCCTAGGACCTGTCCGGAGGTGGATAAGCAGCTGGAGGAGTTACGAGCTGGGAGAATTTGCCCAGCCCTTCTGTCCTCACAGCTACTATAAAACTTACCAAAAAAAGTAGAATATGCACTGGTATTAACAATCTATTTATGTTTATCTGTTACCTAGTGAGCTTGTATCTTGCATGGGTATGGTGTTTGCTCAGCTTACTCATTTCACACACACACCCACAGACACACACATTCACGCCCTGTTCCACAAGGTAGAAGGGACTCGGCTTGCCTCTCCCTTAAACTGGATAATCATCATTTGGGGACAAACATTATCTAAATTATTACTCACTTTTCAGTTAGGCCTTGATTCTGATCTCACGTTGTCCCAGTTTTAGACTTGTACAACCCATCTGGTGCTTTAAAATGGAGTTGCACCTGATTCCTGCTTGTACGAGAAGAAGTAGAGCCAGGGCTCTGGCTTGTGAATGTGTTCTGTGATGCTTATCCTGCATTTATATGTATTAGTTGGAGTTTCCTGTTGGCTCTGATGGGACCTGAGTTGTGCCCTAAGCAAAGTGAGGAGAAGGATCAAACCAGCGTCTCCCCAGTTGCCTTCAGCCAAATTTGTCTGTCAGTTGTCTTTGCTCATTCAGTTGCTTTTGAAGTCAGTCTCTTTTAGGTTGTATTTCAAAACTAATTCTTAAAATGTCATTTTCAAGTAAAGAGCTGGAAGGTGAGGGGAGGGGAACTGGCTTTTGCAGAGGCTGAGCTTGGCTACTCAGCTTTGGGAAGGAAGGATCATGCTGCAAACAGGTGTTTTCCCAAGGAAGTTCCATTTTGTGATCTGGCACAGCCCCAAACCGTGTGTAATCTCCATAGGAGTTGGCACTGCTGAGAATCTGTACAAGCCTCCGTGATGTCCTGTCTGTGCGGAGGAGAGCTCAGTGTCTCAGGCAGAAGAGCCTTTCTAGATTCACAGCTTCTGTCCTTGTCTCTGTAGTGCAAAGTGTTTCTGCTTAGGGGCTGTAGATTTGCATATAGGGTAAAAATATGAAGGATTTTGCTAAGAAAATACATACTCCTTTCCAACAGTCGGTGAATCGCTTCCTGTGCCAGCACAGAGACCCAGCTCCGCGCAGCTTTCTCCGAGGCTTCCTCCACCAAAGTCCCTTGGGGTGGAGAGAATTCATCTCAGAAAGTCATCCATAAACGAGCAGCTCTTGGAAACCAGACACTCCAGGTAAGGCACGTCTCGCTGCTGCCGTGCTCTCTGCCTTGCTGCCATGAGCTCCATCTTGCCCCTGCCAAGACTTCTGTTCCTATGGGGACTCCAATGGAGCCTGCTGCCTCCATACTCCTCTGCGATTACAGGATTTGATGATGGCAGCTAAGTTTCCTCTTCAGTAACAGAAGTGTGGATAAGTGTGTATAAGTAGTTGTCACAGTCTTTGAAATTGTAGGGTAACGTAGTCTTTGTGAAGATGTTCAAGACGGGTGAGAAATTTAATAGCAAGGGCTGTATTTAAGGAATTGCTTGTGCCCACCAGTTACTGTCACTCTGTGTACGTTTCTGTGGTTTGTTTTCAGTATTAACTAAACTTAACAGTTTTCCTGATGACTGTGCTTAATGGCTTCAGGTAACACCAAACCATATCCTTCCCTCCTGATGGTATTGGTATTTCAACAGGTACACTGCTAAACCGTACAGAATTCACCTAAGTCCTGATGGGCAATTCTCCATGTCAGAGCAGAGTTACTGGGGTTCAACCAGCTACCATCGTTAGTATCAGCTGCAGTGACTGGCTGAGGTTCTTGTGTGTATCCAAGGGATCTGGCACTTTCTGAACTAGAACAACAGTTCCATGGGGTGCATCGATACCAGTAGCTCTGCTGATGGTTGTGTGATCATGTTACGTGGGTTTGATCTGGTGCTAGTTGTTCTCAGGATTCCCACGGATCTTGATATTTCTTGGACTGTCTTGCACGAGCAGGTTGTTGAAGGCATGCTTAAAAACGTTTTAAAGTTTTGGGCAATGTCGTGTCTTGGCGTTTTTCTCGTCTGTCCCTCAAGATAAGCAGAACACTCCACATGAAGTTTAGAAGTTGAGTTACAGCCATATGTAACCATTTAACTGTGATGTGCTTCATTTTGAAACCCGATTCCTTTGCTTCCTTGTTATCTGCTCTGTCTCTTCTGCTTCATACTTCTGTCCTTTGGCAGCAGCTTTTCCTACTGGTCATCCTCTGAGGACCTTCCTTGAACGACAAGAGGAGGTTGAATTTCAATTCCTGTTTAACAATTCTGTTCTTTATATGGGGAAGCACATCCAGTTATGCCCTTAACTGTTTTTCTGACCTTCGTTTTGTTTCTTCAAGACTTAGGGTGTGCGTATTCTGTGTGCTGTGACTTGGGTGGCGTTTAACCTAACTGGGGTTGTCTCCATGACAGGGACCCGCTTTCGACTCACAGCAGTCCTTACCGAACCCTGGACCGGCCGCCCCAGCCCCATGGTGGGAGAAGCATGCCTACAACCCCTGTGCTCACACGCAACGCCTACAGTAGCAGCCACTTACAGTAAGGGGGTTTTGTTTTTAAGTGCCGTGTCCATCTTGGGCAGCAGAAGAATAAAAGCCAATGGTGTTAAGAGGGCAAAGGGTCCTTTGCTGTGCAGCTTTCTGTACAGCAGGGTCAGGCTCTCAAAATGTCTTTCCTGGATATTGGAGGCACAAGGTTGATAGCAGCTACCATCTTCTGGCACAGTCCTGCACCAGCTTTGTGACATGCGAGTGAGAGCATTTATGTGAGCACAAACCCTGTCTGGGCAAATAGCAGCATACACAGATGGGTGTGCAAAATTAGGAGTGAGATGGAAGCTGGCACACAAGTAATGCCTGTCTGATCATGAAAGACTATAGGAGAAGGGTCATTTTCACCTATGGGGAATTGTAACAAGTAATGCTTGTTCGGAAGGTTTCTGTAAAATACTTGTAAGATAGCCAGAATTTGTTTTACATCTCCTTTGTAGCCTCCTTTTCTAACAAAGTGAGGCTTATGAAAATGTATTGTCCACCAGGTAGTGGTCCCCCCACAAAAACTTGTTCACAAGCTGACAAGTGACATAATCCACAATCTGCTGTGGATTATGTTCCTACAAGCCTCCTGAAAAAGTAAGTGTCCAGATGGAGGAGAGAGATCCCAATTAGTGCCCTTACCATGGGAAGACAGCTGCAACGTGGGCTCACCTGTGTTATTAGACAGCTGAGAATCCATGCTGGGAAGGAGAGATGCAATAAATCTTACAATGTTATCAAGAGCTCGTGGTTTATTTGGCTGGGGTAATGCAGCCTTGAGAGACAGAGCTACAGGAAACCCATCTTCCTGTGTTCTGCTCCTAGCTCAGCTGTTTAGACTTGACCTACTTAAAAACTGAGAGCGCCCTCCTGTAAATAGTTACAAAGTGGGAGTTTGTGCACTTTGGTGCAGGTATCTTTGTCACAGGTTAGCCTTGCTCACCGTGATAGATTTTTATATGAGATATCTTTTACTGTTGCAGCAAATCTAAAATTCAGCCAAGCTGATTTTCTTGCAGTGCAGATACAAACCCAGTCTTTTCTTTCCACGTAGGGTATTGTGCTTTCCTTGGGGAGGCAGCATGCCTGACTTGCCCATGTGTGCTCTCTCCAACTCTCTGTGTATGTTTGTGTGTGACTGCCTTTAACCAACCTGCATCTGTGTTGTTTCAGGCCAGATGTTTCCCCGCACCATCGCCGGCAGCGCAGTGGAAGTCTGGAATCCCAAACCCACCTGCTGTCCGAGACTCCTGATGAAAAGGCAGCCTTCGGCCTCTCAAAGTCCCAGCGAAGCAGCAGCACAGAGATCCTTGATGATGGATCATCTTACACTAGCCAGTCAAGTGCGGAATATTACTGTGTGACACCTACTCCAAATCCATATTATACTACTCAGACGCTTGACAATAGGACCAGGGGTCGAAGACGGTCAAAGAAGCAAAACATTTCTGCCGCAAATTCAGGAAGTATGCCAAATCTTGCCCAGAAGGATGTCCGCAATGGTGTCTACCACAAAAGTCAAGAGCAGCCTTCTTCCTCTAGTTACTATATTTCTGGATATTCCCCGTACACCGAATCTGACACTTATTACAATGGAGGATATGTTTACGAGAGTGATACGGAGGGACAGTACAGCGTCAATCCTTCCTATCGATCATCGGCACATTACGGATACGACCGTTACAGGGAATTCAGGTCTTACCATGAGGATGAAGTGGACAGAGTACCGCACAACCCATATGCAACCCTAAGGCTTCCAAGAAAGCAAGTTGCTAAAACGGAGCATATAACCAAAAACATTCACAAGGCCTTAGTAGCAGAGCATCTCCGTGGTTGGTACCAACGTGCCTCCAGTCAAAAGGAACAGGGTCATAGCCTGCAGGCAGGCTTTGAGTCTGACAGAGGATCTCAAAGGAGTTTGGGCTTTGCTGGTCTGCAGGTGCCGTGTTCTCCTAGCAGTCGGGTGTCGTCTTTCTCTTTGGGTAATGTCCGATTTCTTCTGTGCTAAGTGTTTTTGTAAGTCCCTGCTGTGTATCAAATTCTGTCCCCCTCTGCTGCCTCGTTGAAGACAGCAGAGCAGAAGCAAGGCTAGAGCACTGTCCCAAAAGGTAGATGAGGAACTGAATAAGATCTTGTTGTTCCATGCTTGGGAAGAAAGACTTGCTTGTTGCTGCCTTCTGTGGGTAAAACTGTCTTTTTCTCTTCGTAAGCCCAGTAGTCCAAAGAAGCACAAAGAGCCACATGAGTTTCAAACAGGCATGTTTATCAACTAGAAGTAGCCTGCAAAACTTGATGCCATGTAAGCGCAGTTACCATGATGGCTTCCAAAATACAGTACAATGAGCATCACTGAATGGGTCAGAAAGTCTTTTTAGAGAGATCCCTAGCTCCCAAATACCACCCACACAGTGCTTTCCTCCCTACAGGGCTTGTAAATCATATTTTCTGTTTGCTTTGTCTGCTTGTGTGCCCTGCAGAAACCCACAGAGATTGCTAATGAGAATTGTCTCATTTGGCTCAGCTGATTTAGCTGGAGAAGGATCTAATTTGCTGTAATTTTTTTTTTTTTAATTCCAGCATCTTCTGCAAACACTGCTGGGAACTGGCGAAACCCACTTGCACTGGGACTTTCAGACTATGATACGTTGTCTCATTCCTCTTATGCCAGCTGTTACGGGAATGTTTATGGCAACCTTCCTTTGCAGAGCAGGTGAGTAGAGTATATCAAGTTTTTCTGTCCTTCCTCATGCATTTCACAGTTAAAGTGCTTTTTCTGAGAAAATCAGCTTTATTTCAAAGGGCCGGGATGAAGAGTAATTATAAAATGGACTTTGTGGGAGCAAATCTTCTCTGTGTGGAGAAGCTGTACCACCACTAACTGTGCCACTGATACTCAAGGAAGGGGGAGACAGTCATAGTGAAGGATGAACTCATTTGTGCACAGCCTTTTCCTCTGGCTGATGCTGGACCATCGAGGATCTTGCACTCCCTGGTAGCTGCGAAGCTCAGAGCAGTGTTGCGGGCAGAGCACCCACTGAGCCCAGTCCTTCTCACCCCCTGTGACAGGAGGTCTTGCCTGCACCCCGTCAGCAGTCCGGCAGGACACAGTCCTGTTGTGTTTCTGAAGTTGTAGTGCCTATGCTGATAAACTTTGGGAAAAACAAGGAAGGGAAACTCCTCTCTTCAACCTCATGTCTAAGTGCTGGTGTTCAAAGACGATGCTGCATCTGCCAAGAGCATCTCGTTTGGCAGAGCTTGAGCCAGGAGCCAGGCAGGACATGCTGCTGCCTGCAGAGCCGCCCCGCTCGTGGGGGCTCTCCCGACGGCTGCAGGGAGCCCAGGGTCTGCTTTGTCCTTGCAGAAATTCCTGCAGCTCTCCCGCCGCTTCTGCTTGCTGCTTTCGGTCTCTTCCCCCCCGCTATCGTACGCCAGCTGTTATCCCCGAGAACAGAGACCTCCTGTCCAGGGGAATGGCTCTGCTCCCACAAATGCCATCACGTTTAAGTACACTTACGCTAAATGTAGCCAGCTGTAGTAAGTACCCCATGTTTGTGCCTCCTGCTTTGTGGGTTGCAGTTTTGTGCTTGCTGACAGGCTGACTTGTGTGAAATTACTGAATTTTTAATTTAGTTTGTTTTAAAGTAAATGAAGGTGTAAGAAAAGATATAAAAGCTTCTGCTAGATCCTCATTTCTGAGATAAACGCCAGGGGCTTTTTTAGTGCAGTGATTTAAAAGATCTACAGTAACAGTGTTTAAAAATACAGTTTCTACTAAATTCTTAACTTCCTGTAATTGGGCTTTGAAAACTCTGATTATTTTGGCAGCTTTTTCTGTATAAGGCTTATTAGATACTAATTTTCCATACTGTGAATCATTTGTCTGATCACTCATCTGTTCTGTTTTTCTATTTTAATGTGATCATGGCAAACGAGCAATCGATATGCTCCGCAGTCTCAATAATTTTGAGAAGCTGAGATCCGGTTGCACACCATTTGACTAATTACAGCACAAAAACCGGGTTTGTGTTAGGTTCCAAATTACATTGGGGTGAACTCACAATAACCAGCGTTCCTTAAGCCCGAGGGGGTTGCGTGAGTTTGTGCAGCACGTGGGGATCTGGGGGAGACCCTCGGCTCTTGCTGATCCCTGCTGCCGTGTCTCTCTTGCAGAGCGTATGCAGAGACGAGCCAGCTGGGCGGCGATGGTGGGAGCCGGTTGGAAGAAGACTTGCACAGCAATGAGCAGCGGTTATTGTGGCATGAGGATTCAAAGCCCGGGACGCTGGTGTAGATCGCCTGCAGCCCCGCATTCGTACCCTTGCGTGCCTTGCACAAAATGCTGTGACTCCGAGGCAGATCTCGGGTGGAACTTCCAAACCGAACAAGAAAAGGAAGCAGGCTGTTTTACTGGGAAAGATTAAATTCAGCATTAAGAGGGACTGTAGCGAGGTGACAAAGTCTTACCACGAATGGCGTTTCTTTCTGAATCCAGATAGCCTACACAAGCAAGGGCAAGCCACGGTTTAATCTATGACTAGATGCAGCACTTGGTTGAAGTATTTATATTTAGCAAGCACTTTTTTGGAAGATTGGAAGGTGTTGAAGGCAAACCTCAGAGAAAAAAAAAAAAAAAATGTGAAAAGGAGACTCTTATGGAAAAACCAGGAATTCTAGGAGCACAATTCTGATGTCGAAAGAAGAGTGAAAAGTTATTCTGCCATGGCTTATGATGACCTGGAAGGACTTTCATAAGCTTATGAAGGATAGATACTCTGTGTGTGTGTGAGGCAAAGGGTGACTTAATCAGTATTGGAACATTACTTGAAGGAAGGCTGGATTATAATTTTTTTTTCATTAGGGAGGTTTGAATGAGTTTATCCATTTTTTGGGGTGTGGTTAAGAGTGTTTGTTAGCACCACAAGCAAGTTCTGGAAAGAACAGAACTTGCTGACACAATATATCATGTAAAACTATAGGCAGTTGTGGATTTTGGAAACAAGCAGTAAACTTTGAACTCTTTTCCATGATAAAGTGTAATTAATAACCTCCCATTTAATGACCTTTCCATGGTACAACTTCCCTGTGCGGAGGAGTAGGCAAATTTTCGCAGTGGCTGCGCAATGACCCCCATTCATCGGGTGACGATGACATTTTGCTCTGCCACGGCGAATCGAAGATCCACAGTGGGGAGCTCCGGCGATCACACGGCGAACAGTTTGATTGTAACGGCCAGTATTTTAAGGTGGATGCAAACACAAACAGCCAAGTGGGTGCCTTAAAATGAGGGGCATTAGGATTGTACCGCAAGTCATCTGAACTGCCAGGTGTGTTGCAAAGTCACTAAGTGACAGAACAACATTTTCACGAAACCATTTG